CCCTTGTCTTCATCTACATCAACTGACACAACCTTTGAAGATGACATGAATTATGTTCCTAGTGAAAAGAGCAGCTTTGGTTGGTCCAAACAGATAGAGAGAGAACCCTCCCCACAATTTAATGTGGATCGTGTACCTAGTGGGAGGGTAGAAGGAAGTTTGGCTGCATCTGTATATTCAGATTACTACAAGGATCAGATAGGTGGTCAAAATCTCATAGGCACAGATGATCTTGACTACCCTGAGCAGGCTTATGAACAAGAGAAACCATCGCGAGGGAATAGTAAGATGGCAGAGACCTACCAGCGATCATCGCTGGAGGAAAAGCGAAAGATTGGCAGTCAGGTGAAATGGAGGGATATGCCTGATTTTGGGGCTATCAACTCAAATTCTGATGATGATCTTAATGCCGTCTTGCAGGTGAATACACTCTACATTTTTCCATCTTGATTTTTAATATGAGTCATTCAAATTCTAATTGCTAAATGATATATGATATTCATCATACTCTCATTTGGTTGCTTTTAGGAAGAGGAAGACCTTGTGACTGCTCACCGAAGACAAGTAGAGCAGACCATAGACATTGTTAGGGAGGTCAGAAACAATCTCTTCTGAGCGCATTGTAGTTTTATTTTGTGCTATGCTTGGACGTAGCTTAACTGTGTTTACTTATGCAGGAGATGAATCTTCTGGCCGAAGCTGACCAACCAGGCAATCGACTCGATGATTATATCTGTAAATTGAATGCCATACTCTCTGAGAAGGCTGCAGGGATTCTTCAACTGCAGACTCAGTTGGCTGAGTTCCAGAGGCATCTGAATGAGCATAGTGTTTTAGTATCTACTTCAAGCAATTGATATAATTTGGGAGAGAGAACTAATCAGAGCAGTTGGCATGTGGCTTTCCAGGAAGTTGATGTGATGATTCATTCTCTTCCTTGATAGAGGTTTGGCCCTTGTTTATTTATTTGTCTGTTATGCCTATCTATCTAAGCTTGTTGGCTCTTCATAAAAGTTCTGTGGCAATGTGCTTATAGAGTAAGCTTGTTTGAGTTGCTAGGGTTTCTATAATACATGAAAACCACCTACCTCAAACTGCTTGTTTGGGGGTAGATGGTTTGATCTTGTTTCTTTTTCTGTCAACATTATATCAAGTCGTCTTGATTCTTGAAATTATGACCTATGAGAGGAATGAGAAAGATACATGCAAGCATATGCATGTTTTGTAAAGCTCTGTGACTGTTTATTTATTTGGCTTTTGGTCTTTAAGCTTTTAATGGATGACCTCCATTCCATATCAGCTAGCTATTGGTCAATCCGTATTTGTAATTTGCTTTTACTATGTTGAAAAATGTCTCAAATTCAAATTTCTCAGGTTTGATTTAGTTACAGTTTTTTGAATGTCATTCAATCATTCATATGTATCTGAACCTTTTACCACAATAGAGTGTCTTCTTGTTTCAAATTACATCTGGTATCTTCCTCAAAGTCGGCTTAAGACCCAAAAGACTGCTATTCCTTGACCAGCGAGACATTGCAGTCTGTGTGATAAAATCTTGTCTTACCTGAAGTCACTATCATTTCTTTTTGGGTTTCTCAAAGTCTCTTGGATCCTTTTGTACCCTTCCGTAATCTTCTTTTCCAGATTTTGTGGCTCTTCCTTGTCCGCTTTTTGTGATTGGTTTCAATTTCATAAAAGCTAAACCTCATTAGTCACAAACTTGAAAACACCTACTAACCCATCAATTGGTGCCGACGGGTTTAGCCCAATGAAAAATGGTTTTCGCTCGCAGACTAGTAGTTTCAGGTTTGAATCCCATGTGTGTGTAAGAAAATCATCTCTTTTTTGTAATTTGGACTATCGCTTGTATTAAAATAAAATAAAAACCCCACCAATTGATGTTTTATAATGATTACCAACTATAGCATATGAATTTTAATTAAAAATACATATACATTTGGCTGTCAATTAACCACCGCAGATTGCGTCCTCAAAACGGGAATTATGAACTCAGTTGTTCATTGGAAAATAGTTAAACAAAATTATTTCTATGGCGGTGGTTGTTTTCATTATAAATCAATCACATCCATGAATGTGTCCTTTTTTCAAAAGGGTAACGCTTTCGTAATAAATCAGTCCCATCGGAGGGTTTGTTTTGGAGTTGTTTATCAAACTCTTGTAACTTTTTTCTCTTCTTTCGGACTCTTTAACCTTCATTTGATTGGACAGAGAGACCTAGTCGTCTACAATTTGCATAACTGATGTGAAAAATGATTCGATACTAAATGTTATTACATATTTAACGTAAATATATATATATATATTTTTTATGGAAAAAAATCTTTGGAGTAAGGGAATTCGAAATCTAATTACTTATTAATTGTTAACCATTTTAAGTAAGATAACACTGAAAAAGATCATTGCCGTATAAACACCCATCTCATGCATACACTAAAGCATGGCACCAAGTAAATATGGGTCTGCCAACGAGTCCTTAGCTTAGTGGTAAGAGTCTTTGTTTGCATATCAGTGATCTTATATTCGAATCTCAATAATACCTACACCCTCCAAACGTTGATAAAAAAAATAAAGAAGAGGTAAATATGGGCCTATTTTCTATTTTGTTCATGTCATGTGGATTGTGGGTTAAGTACATAATTTGTTGATGGAATATGTAATTGGTCAAATTAGTGACCTATTTCTAATTTGGGCAAGCAAAGGATCTTCTATGCTTAAAGAGGAAAAGATAATTTTTTTGTGCGTAATTTTTTTATTTGAGAACTTATATATATATAGCAGCCAATGCCATTTGTCCATTTTCTATTAGAACCCCGAATATCCTCATCCTCGCCATGTTTTATGGGTTTGAGCTATATGCCATAGGTATGAATCTATAGTCTCATATGAGCTATATGCACTCATTTTTCTAATTAATTTTTCTTTTCTTTTCCTTAAGATCAATAATACACAATTAACAAAAAATTATGTATGCCACCAAAGATTTCTGGAAATCTTATAATTGTAATAAGTCACCATGATTATTTAATTATAAGGTACCAAATATTTGTTTGACTTACCTTACATGCCCGACAATCTCTTCTCAATTAAAAATCAACTCCCATTTTCATGGAAAATATAAAATAAAAATAATGTTTCCTATTAACTTCAAATAATTATGTTAAATAAATAATGACAGACTGCTTCTAAATTATAATTTTAATATTAGTTAGAGATGTTATTTAACAAAACTATCTCTATCCCCACTGGATACCCGTAAGCTTAGTAGTGAGTAAGCATATAAATTAATTTATACTAATTGACCATTACTATAAAGAATAGGGAAAATCAATATTAATTAACTTATAAAAATAAAAAATGTATGGCATAAAATGAACCGACAAGGTGTAATAAGAGAGTAAGAAAGAGACAAGCATGGATTTGGAGGAAATAAATATGCTCCCCCTGGCCCTAACACCATTCCAAAAGAGCCAAAAACATATTTACAAGAGCTTTAGGCCTTAGAGCCATGGACGTGGCCAAGTAGGAAGTCCACACGTACGCTACCGCTTTATGCGCCAACGCACGAGCAAGCAGCCTATGAGCCCAAAAGCAAAAGCAAAAAGCAAAATCGGATTCCTAGCGACCGAATCTTATAAGCCCACTCATTTTTTTCTTTTTCTTTTTTTAATTTCTTTCTCTCTCTCGCTCTCTCCATTTTACACCCTCCCATTGGTTACGTTTCATCTAATTTATTCATTTAATAAATCTTGGAGAAATCTCCCAAACCCTAGACCCAAGCGCGTGTGTTGTTTGGTGAATGCAGCTTCAACCCCCACAAGCGCCCTACATGTTTGGCATCCAACCATGCATAATGCTTCTTCACTTGCATTGCATGAGTAGTTTCTTCGTATGCATATATAATTGAACATTTCATTTTGACTTTATATACATCATTATCACTATTAGGTTGTAGACAAAAACTTAAGCACCACACATTAGTTTCTCTTTTTCGGCTAAGCATCCCTTTTCATTGGATGCCTTGTTGCTATCGAAGCTAACTAATACCTATATTTTAGTTTTCCCCATTTTGAAATTTTGATGATGAGCAAAACTTCACGTGTGCATTTGACCCACTGACATTAGATGAGTAAAACTTGTACTCCTTCAACATTACTAACCTTTTAAATGAAACTAATGGACCTTCTATCTTTGATTTTCAGCAAGCATTTTTAGGAACTCACAATTCTATTTAGTTCGATTTCGGAAAACTAGCTTGTCGCGGATTAGTGCGTTCTACGCCACTGGCGTCCTAAAATCAAAGGCGCAAGTTGATCTCTCTAGTTGAGGCTACATTCATTTTGACACGTGGGAAGTCCTCACTCTCCTAGTGGCTCGGCTTGGTCTTCCTCCCCCCATACAAGTGCCGATGAGAATGCCTTTTTTCTCCAAACCACATGTCAGTCGCAAAAATAGACAAATCACATTATCTTTCATTTGTATATACGAACTTTCAAATCCACTAGCTGCCCGAGTTCATAGTTTATTCATGAGAGAAGAAATGGAGAACCAATTGTCAGCACTTTCACACATCATAGGCTAATAGAGCTAAGATCTTGCACTTTCACACACTGTGACTAATTAAATTAAACCCTCTAATTATCATACGAGAGTGTGCTAATCCAATCTAATGTCGACTAATACCCACCCTGTCGTCTAGGACTCACTACAGTTGTCAGCTACCCCGGGGACCACGTCACTAATTAAACAAACAATACTTGTACTGAATCTGAATCCCACGCCCCCAAAACGCGCGTTGAAGCATCTCTTTCCCCTGGAGTTTGATAAATATCTAACGATGACGTGTGATAAAAGCGGAGCCCAGTGGGTCCCATAATACTCGCCAATGAATATCAGAAACGTATGGTAATGTGCCACGTTAGCCAGTGTCACTGTGCGCGCATCCGTTATATATTACGGTGGTACTTCAACATTCTAAAAGAAGAAAAAAGAAAAGGCGATTCCGATAAGGCTCTGAAAACACACACGAGACAGAGAGAGTTGCAGAGAGTGAGAGTGTGTGTGTGAGAAAGAGAAAGAGAAAGAGAAAGAGAAGGAGAAAGCAAAGGAAAAGGGGAAAAAGACAGACTGTATGGGATGATGATGGAGGAGAACAATAACGTCATCGCGCCGTTCGTTATGAAGACTTACCAGATGGTCAACGATCCGACGACGGACAAGTTAATCACTTGGGGCCGAGCCAACAACAGCTTCATCGTCGTCGACCCGTTAGACTTCTCTCAGAGGCTCTTACCCGCTTACTTCAAGCACAACAATTTCTCCAGCTTCGTCCGCCAGCTTAACACATATGTGGGCATATAACACATATAATTGTACACTGATTTGATTAATTATCGGTGAAAATGAAAACCCATTTCTCAAATTTGATTATATGTGCAGGGATTTCGAAAGGTCGATCCAGATAGGTGGGAATTTGCGAACGAGTGGTTTCTGCGGGGCCAAACGCATTTGCTGAGGAACGTGGTGAGGAGAAAGCACATGGGTAAGAATTCGTATTCGAATTCGAATTCGAGCACGTGCTTATTACAGGGGAAGCACGAGGAGCTTGACGACGAAGAGATATTGATGGAGATTGCGAGGTTGAAGCAGGAGCAGAAGGCGTTGGAAGAAGAAATGGAGAACATGAACAAGAGATTGGAGGCAACTGAGAGACGACCCCAGCAAATGATGGCTTTTCTGCACAAAGTCGCGGAGGACCCTGAGATTTTGCCACGTATTATGCTCGAGAAGGATCGTACGGTCAGAGCGCAGTTGGGGGAGAAAAAGCGGCGGGTTATGATGATAACCTCAACGTCGTCCTCGTCGTCGGGCATGGGGGCCACCAACTCCGTCAAGACCGAGGATGAGGATGACGGAACCGTAGGGGTAATTTCGTCATCTCCCGAACCGGGTTTTGAGATGGAGAGTTTTTATTCCACGTCTCCAGAGACGTCGACGGCGCGAGAGTGGGGGAGGCAGAGGCGGGTCGTGGATCGGGTTCGGGCTGTGCAAGACCCGTATAATATGAACCCGACGGTGTCGGGACATGGGATCGGGAATAGTAGTAATTCCGGGTACGGGTATGGGAATAGTGCGGAAGTGGGTTATCTCACAGAGGAACCTATCCCTGCACCACCGCCTTATCCATTCTCGTTGTTAGAGGGTGGCTTTTAGTTTTTAGTTATGATTTTGGTACTTTCACAAGATTTATCTTGGCTTTTGGTATTAGTTCCTTTTTATTTGTCCTTTATTTTAAAAAAAAAATAGTTATTATGTATAACAAAAGAAAATAATTCAATTATGAGTTAACAATATTGTTTACGGTTCCCACCACAAAGGTGGTGGATTCCCCTTCCCCCTATGGCATCTAGGTTCGAAATTCCAAGTGGTTTTTTTCCTCCAATGTAACCAAAAATAATAATAATAATAATAATAAATGTTTATATGCAAATAATATATACATGTAGACATTATGTCCATTTAGATTTTGAAATAAATGTATTGGGAATTAAATTCGCATGTCTAATTCCGGGATAGTAGAATGGAATATGTTTATTCCCATGTTTGAGAACGTTGGAAAATAAGGGCAAAGAAATGTCCTTTTCTCTCATGAATATATGAAATTCGCCCATCCATAGGAGGAATAGTAGTAATTCCGGGTACGGGTATGGGAATAGTGCGGAAGTGGGTTATCTCACAGAGGAACCTATCCCTGCACCACCGCCTTATCCATTCTCGTTGTTAGAGGGTGGCTTTTAGTTTTTAGTTATGATTTTGGTACTTTCACAAGATTTATCTTGGCTTTTGGTATTAGTTCCTTTTTATTTGTCCTTTATTTTAAAAAAAAAATAGTTATTATGTATAACAAAAGAAAATAATTCAATTATGAGTTAACAATATTGTTTACGGTTCCCACCACAAAGGTGGTGGATTCCCCTTCCCCCTATGGCATCTAGGTTCGAAATTCCAAGTGGTTTTTTTCCTCCAATGTAACCAAAAATAATAATAATAATAAATGTTTATATGCAAATAATATATACATGTAGACATTTTGTCCATTTAGATTTTGAAATAAATGTATTGGGAATTAAATTCGCATGTCTAATTCCGGGATAGTAGAATGGAATATGTTTATTGTCATGTTTGAGAACGTTGGAAAATAAGGGCAAAGAAATGTTGTTTCTCTCATGAATGTATGAAATTCGCCCATCCATAGGAAGTTCATACCCATATGTTAGATATTACTAAATTCACTTACCAAACACGATAATGCAATTTCATACCAAATTTCAAGCTTCTAAACCTTGAATTAAGAGAGTCCTTACAATATGTTATACTAAATATGATACATATTAGAGTATTCACAATGGTTGTTCAATAGTTCAATAAATTTATCTTTTTTGGCATTTATTGAATTGAACTGCAATTTTACTTGCAATGGTACACTTCAATAGCTTCAAATCAATAGTTATATCTACTTACACATTTTTTTTACATACTCAAATAAAATAAAAGGGATAAATTTAATAACACTAAAAAGTTTACCATTGCAATATTCTCACATAGATATTTAAAGAGAAATCAATTTTGAATATATTTGAAGAAAATAAATTGATGTATTTTTTCTATTGCAATAAACTATTGAACAACCATTGCGGATGCTCTTAACAACATAATACATTAATTGCAATACTTTTTTTCCAATAGAGAATTCATCACATGGCACTCTCTATTGCAATGAATTAAATTCCACCATTGCAAGTGAGATTTTATTACTTCAGTTTAATTTCATGCAATAAAATTGCATTGATCCTAACCATCGCATAGCATTACTCTTCAGCCAAGTATCGTTGACTATTGGGTAATAAATTCAGCAATAAGCTAAGAACACATTAAAGTTAGACAGAGACACATGAATAAGATGATTCAAACATGAAAAGTAGAAGCAGTTCCTCAAGATTAGTTAGCTTCTCCTGAGGAAAATATGGTGTTTGACTCTCTTTTATTTACTGAGGCAGCAAAAAGCGCTTCTTTCAAATAGACATCGTTTTGATTGCAAGCACGGGCTGTACTGAGTTTGGCCTGGTGGTGAGCATGCCGACTATTCTATAATCTATTTCCCACTCCCCAATTGCCAAGTCGGCTGATTTAAATTCCACTGTTTGCAGCCCTGCTGGCACCGGCGAACTACAATTGTATCCAAGAGGAAATGCTAAGAACATTCTGTCTACAAGTGGAGAAAAACTTATCTATATTGAGATACCGTTGTGGCGCTATTCCAAGTCAATCATCTATTACCACATGTTTTAACTTTTGGACATAACAATGCATGATAGGCTTGAAATACCATTACGGTGGTATCCCGTTATATGTAAGTTCTTCTCAATTTTTTTACATACTCAAATAAAATAAAAGGGATAAATTTAATAACACTAAAAAGTTTACCATTGCAATATTCTCACATAGATATTTAAAGAGAAATCAATTTTGAATATATTTGAAGAAAATAAATTGATGTATTTTTTCTATTGCAATAAACTATTGAACAACCATTGCGGATGCTCTTAACAACATAATACATTAATTGCAATACTTTTTTTCCAATAGAGAATTCATCACATGGCACTCTCTATATGAATTAAATCCCACCATTGCAAGTGAGATTTTATTACTTCAGTTTAATTTCATGCAATAAAATTGCATTGATCCTAACCATCGCATAGCATTACTCTTCAGCCAAGTATCGTTGACTATTGGGTAATAAATTCAGCAATAAGCTAAGAACACATTAAAGTTAGACAGAGACACATGAATAAGATGATTCAAACATGAAAAGTAGAAGCAGTTCCTCAAGATTAGTTAGCTTCTCCTGAGGAAAATATGGTGTTTGACTCTCTTTTATTTACTGAGGCAGCAAAAAGCGCTTCTTTCAAATAGACATCGTTTTGATTGCAAGCACGGGCTGTACTGAGTTTGGCCTGGTGGTGAGCATGCCGACTATTCTATAATCTATTTCCCACTCCCCAATTGCCAAGTCGGCTGATTTAAATTCCACTGTTTGCAGCCCTGCTGGCACCGGCGAACTACAATTGTATCCAAGAGGAAATGCTAAGAACATTCTGTCTACAAGTGGAGAAAAACTTATCTATATTGAGATACCGTTGTGGCGCTATTCCAAGTCAATCACCTATTACCACATGTTTTAACTTTTGAACATAACAATGCATGATAGGCTTGAAATACCATTACGGTGGTATCCCGTTATTATATATGTAAGTTCTTCTCAAGAAAGCGAGCAAATTGAACGACTTCCACCCACTAATGTGCTATGAACTCCACATGCATTTACGATTGGTAACTGCCAATGGCGTGGAAAGAATATGCTATGATAAGGTTCAACTTTAGAATATTATTGTAAGCGAATATACTATAATTTTGGCGGACAAACGTACGGGAGGCTATACCTATAGGGCAAGGAAAAGAGGGTGACACCTGTCCATTACCAAACCGATGAAAGGCATTGTTGTCTTGTCTCTCAGGATGGGGAAAAAAGGGCCATGTATTTAGGTTAATTTGTCCACCTCTAAGCCATTTTTAATTAAAACGTGGCTTAGAGAAACGAGAAAAGCAGCAAAAGTTTAAGAAAAAAGAGCGATGTGACATTTTGGGCTAATTATGGACCCCAGCCCTAGTATGGAGCTCAATCCCATTAAAGGATGACCCTTCGGACGCAAGAGGGGCTCAGTAAAATTACAGAGAGGCACACAAGACGTGCCCATCATTAATAAGGTAGGCCATCACCCTCTCTGTAAGCATGCATACCCTACCAAATATGTCACATTTGCACGCTTGCTGTGCCCTCACTCTCAGTGGATCGTAATAAGAGAGTGCCAAAAATACACAGGCGCAGCGCATGTGAAGGAAGGACCCTAAATTATCAAGTAATTAAAATTAGTTTAAGGTCAAACACGATAGCCAACAAAAATACACAGGCGCAGCGCATGTGAAGGAAGGACCCTAAATTATCAAGTAATTAAGATTAGTTTAAGGTCAAACACGATAGCCAATGATTAGCCAGGATTCTTGTACATGCCGGTGACTCGTGTTTAAATACGCTTCCAATTCATATTCAAATTGGGTCAGGCTCCGATGCTGACGAAGGATTTACGCAAGAGGGTTTACATTATGGGGCCCAGCCAAGCCCAAACCGTGATTGGGCTTTCTGAGACTCGTGTCATGCGCTGGGAGAAACTAAACTCATGATGAAGTGGGCCACCCGACTATGTTTACAATATAGGAAAAATGGTTGTGGGTCCCAGTCTCCTTCAACCAAGTCCCTGCCTGCCTTTCATCTTTCTTCTTTCCCCTACTTTTTTTGGGTGGGGACCAGTCCCTCGACTCGTGAAACCACGTGGGGACAGCGAAAGTGGAAAGGACACGTGTTGGCTTCCCAAATGCATCAACTTTTGATCATCCTTCTCCTAAAGCGTTCACATGAGATGAGACAGCGGTGAGGCCAAATATGGTGCTGCTCTGGCACACACTATCATGGTGGACGTTGAACCCATGACCATGTAGGTCCACCACGTGTGGTATCTCAGTGAGTTCACCAACTATATAGTCTATTGTATGTATGGGTATATTTTTAACTCAGAATAAATAAATAAATTATACACAGCTTGATCATGGTATCTTGTTTCTAAATAAATTTTTTTCATGTTGCTCGAGTTATTAAGAGTATTTATCCATATGAGGTCGTGTGTTTGAATTTTCCGTCTTTCAATATCACTTATATTGACTCATGGCGAAAGAATATGCTATGATAAGGTTCAACTTTAGAATATTATTGTAAGCGAATATACTATAATTTTGGCGGACAAACGTACGGGAGGCTATACCTATAGGGCAAGGAAAAGAGGGTGACACCTGTCCATTACCAAACCGATGAAAGGCATTGTTGTCTTGTCTCTCAGGATGGGGAAAAAAGGGCCATGTATTTAGGTTAATTTGTCCACCTCTAAACCATTTTTAATTAAAACGTGGCTTAGAGAAACGAGAAAAGCAGCAAAAGTTTAAGAAAAAAGAGCGATGTGGCATTTTGGGCTAATTATGCATGTGATTATAAAATGCGAAAAGAGTTAGTAGGTAAAGAAGAAGAATTAAAAAATGACCTGGAAAACGAACAGTGTTGTCTATTCTTTTGGTTTCTTCTGATCGATTGCCAATCGTACATGTAGAGTAAGATGTTCAATATTTGATGCTGAATTTGAGTCTTCTTTTAAGATCGTATCACTAGACTAATAGTTAATTGTGGGTTTTATGTTTTTAGTGGGCTTTATGTTTTTGGTGGACTTTATGCAGGGAAACTAAAATGAGGAGGTTCTTAATAGCCGTCCGATCCAGTGTAAAGTTATTATTGGACTGTTGGATTAAACCCCCTCAGTGTAACTCCTCGTGTGTATATGTAGTAGGCTTTCTGACTGTAATAAGTTTTATTGAAAATTGTTTCTGGAAATATAAAAAGGTACCGCAATGTAATTTGCATTTGATAGCCACCAGATAAAAGATATGGACATGGACCTTAATTATTCTCATAACTTAGCTATATGTGAGCTTCAATTCAAGTAAAGTAGTGGTTTTGTGGCCCACTCCATATATATATAATGTTGCTAGCTTTTGCATTGCTTTCTCATGTTATTAGGCCCATAATCCAACCAATAACCGCATTTCAGTTATTTGGACCGTATACCAGTCCATGATGCTACAGAGCAACATGATGGAATCTATATCAGTATCAAATTTGTTTTGTTTTGTTTAT